CTGCTGCTCTGCATGAGGGATTTGGTCAGTACTGATAGGACCTTGAAGTGACCAGCCAAGTTCAGTGTGGACTGCAATGGGTCTTCCTGATGAACACATACAAACTGGCTCTTTAGGTACCAAGAGATGAGGCATGTCTGATCCTATAAGCAGTAGAGGTTGAAAGAGGTCTACAGGAGTCAAAGGTAGGTCACAGAGATGTCTATGTCTGTGTTGGAGTGTCTTCACTGGATGGGAATGCTCCGAACGACTTACATTGTCTGAAGTGAAGGCCTGTGGATAGAAACATTTCTTCTCAGGCTTGTGTAGAGAAGACACGTGTAAAGCAACCGAAGCACCCTGGAGCTGTACCTTCTGGTGAACCATTCGGTGGGTGAGCACTTTGCCCTTTGGGGTAAGTTGAAGGTATTGCACGGCTTGTAGTAAAATGATGCTTCGTTCTGAGCCATCATCTGCATATGTCTTCAGTACCCTGTCCTTGTTGTGTAGTAAGACTTTCACAACTTTCAGCATCACTTTAGGAGATTTGGTAGGTCTGTCTAAATACACATTTGAGTTTAGAGCAATCACCATAAGGACATTTTTCTGGATTTGTTGGACTGCTCATGCAGCATTGTCAGGTGCTGCTCCTTACAGGTACAGTATTACAAGGTTGTTTGAGGGTACAAACTTCAGGCTTGTGAGATCTTCCACATTTCCAGCACCTCTGTCCCTCAGTCAACTACTGCACAATCTGTCCTGTGCTCAGTTTCTGAAGACCTACACAAGCATTCAGGAAATGATAGGCATTATTGCAGCAAAGATAATATGGTTTTGGCTTGAATGATGACTTCAGTCTGACTAAACTCCCTCTGGAACTCTGATCACTGCCGGTAGTAAAGAAAAAGGCTGTCGGTTTCTCCTTTAGTCACAGAAATGCTGAAAGAATGCAGGTCTTTCTTTGTTGGCTTTGGAACTTCTTGACCGTAAAGAGAAGCAGCTCGACCAGCAATATGCTTCGCTTGGGATTTCATCTGTAACCAAGAACTCAAATCTGGTAAGGTATAGGTTTGGTCTGTATCTGTACAAAGACTCCCTTGGTCCAAGCAGTGTTCCACAAATCCATCACAATAACTTGGTGGCATCTTAGTCAAATGACATGTGATCCACATCTTAGTTCAAACCCATTCTGCCTTTCCAGTGTCTGAAGCATACCTACTAGTGACTGAATAAAGATTAATGTGTCAAAAGCTTCAACATCTCCAAAATTGATAGCCAGAGTATTCAGGATGGAACCCAATTCGCTTTGGACCAGCTGTCATGACCATATTTGTCCTGTACAGTGTGCATGGCTGTGGTGTACGGCTTGATATTGTACAGCAAGATATTCAAAGCACTTTACACTAATCTTTTCTCTCCTTTACCTATTCACACTCATTATATCTCACTACAAAGCTAGCATGTACAAATCAATCTATAGAGACTAMTCAACTTTAAATTRCATTCATACACTGATGGGACACACATCAGAGGCAGTGAGGGTTCAGTGCCTTGCCCAGGTACACTTCAGCATGTGTCAGAATAGCAGGGMRTTGAACCGTCAACTCTTGCATTAAAGGAACAACGGCCCTAACCACTCAGCCACMCGCCGGTGGGTTGTTCTATACTGAATTGTAAAATCCATGCTTACTTTTTTGTATTACATGACAATGAAGTGTAAAAGCTGTGTGATGTGTTTTCTAATATTCTGTCCTAGAATGCAGTTTTCTGTGCATTTTTACTTTGAGCACCTGCCACTTTAGTRGTCTCTGCACAGCCCTGTTCGACAATTAAAACAAAATGAGYGGACGCAATGGAAGCAGAGAACAGGAGGTTATTGGTAAATGGACTAAACTTATAGAGCGCTTTATCAAGTCCCTCYGAACCCCAAAGCGCTTTACACTTACAGACATTCACCCATCCACACACACATTCACACACTGGTGATGGTAAGCTACSTTGTTCTTATTTGTCAAGAACTGAGGAAAACCATGATGACTCACAATCTCTAAAAAGTCACAGTTTTGTTGCATAAATGTCACCTGATGTGTTTATACATATCACCAACATTATATACAAACCGCTGGGTTAACCTCAACAACATTCAGAACTTATCTACAAGGTTGTATTTAAAGAAAATGAATACACTATTATCCTTCGCACACACCACTTCTTCTCCAGTTTATGTCATCACACCACAAGTCTACACACCTGGCAGCCRTTGTGGATCAGAGCATCCATGGCCTTCTGGACAGCAGCGTTGGGTGGCTCACAGCTCTCCACCTGAGTTTTGAAGTTRTGCTCAAAGTAGGGCCCCATCATGTAGTAGTTCTCCCCCCATTCATCCACCGTGATTTTGGCCTTGGACTGGATGACAGTGTAAATCCCTCCAACTACACACAGAGTAACAACAAAAAACACATAATTATGCCACTTCATTAAAGATCTTATATCACTTATCTTTCTAACAGAGCACTTGGCTCTCAGTCTGCAGRTGTGGTTCCTAGAGTTTCTAAAAAGTAAAGTAGGAGGCAGAGCTTTYARWTATCAAGCTCCTCTTTTGTGRAACCAACTTCCAATCTCTGTCGACTACACTTAAAGGGATCCATGATTAGCTGTAACATTACACTTTATTTGATAAACATATATTTTAACTGTAAAATAAAGACTGTAAAAACACTGTAGGCTATTTAGTTTTTATAATTTTTAAACTAAAAGTTTAAAAATATATTACATGGACAGGGCCATTTTATTTACATGCAAAGCATTCTGGGTAAAT